AGAGGATTACTGGTATTTGGTGGGGATATGTTATTTTGGTTTTTCATGTTATTATTTTTTCTCTGTGATGTTGACATGTGAATTTCTTTTGTAGTTTATGATTCTTGTGTGAGACTCAAGCCTTCAAGTTTAGGTCTGCTTCTTTTTAGAAATTCTATATGTCTTTGTGGTTTACTTTTTGGGCATGAAAAGCTGGTTCCTCTAAGCTTCTGGTTCTTTCTTTTGATTTTATATTGGAGTGTCCAGATGGCTTTGGTCTTCAGGAGTTCCCACAGAGGCCCAAGTCAGATGAGGATCAGATACTCTTAGGCTTTCTCCTAAGGTCTCGATCCCTCCAGGAAAGATTTTGGCCTCAGGAATTTAGGGGTTGGACTGGCCTGGGAGCTGGGCCCAGGAAAGATGCTCGTCTAGGGCAGATAGTGGCCATGCCACCCATAGATGCAAAGGAAGATGGGGGCAGGAAGCGGCCCCAAAGGCTCCTGATGACTGCACTGAGGAGCTGGGTTGGTCTAGATGCAAAGGATCAGGAAGAGGAAAGGTCAGCCCCAGCGTCCCAGAAAGAGGGTGGCGGGTGGTGCAGGTGCAGGGAAGCAAAGGGAACCTAGGGGATAAAGGGAAAGAAAGAGCTCAAGAAAGGTAGGACCATAGGAGAAGGGTATTATTAAGGGAGAAAAGGGGAAAATTGGGGAACCTTAAGTGGGAAAACCATGATGGAGGGGTGATATGTCTAGGTAATGTTTATCCCTACCTAGTTTTAAAAACCAGAGGGAATGCTATTACTCCAACAACCTACTGACAAATTATACATAGCAGATCAAGAAATATATGTCTAGGTAATGTTTATCTGAGAACAACTGGTCTTTGCTCAAGATTTATCTACATGCCACACAGTAATTAAAAGTACCAGACTGGTGGAACTAACCTTCTTGGATGTTCAAAAGACATACTTTGAGGCCAGAATTTGGTAAGAGGAACATAAAGGACAGTTTTTGCTCCTTCCTCCTTCCCCTCCTAGGTCTACCTGTTCCAGGGGACTATGAGTATCTCTCAAAATGTCCAGTAATTGTGGTGGGTCACCTGTTCTCTTGATCAAGGAGGCCGAGGAGACCCCATCAGATGGACTTGAACCAGTGTCCAGTCTACAAAGAGGAGGGTCAACACAGAGGAATCATTTCCTCCATGCTTCCAAGGAAAGCCAACTATGGTCGAGCAGGACCTTTGACTTATCTTCACATAGGCGGAACTGGTAAAAGAAAGGATGGAACTGGTAAAAGAAAGGAGCCAAGGGGCTCCTCCCAAGCCCATGTGACCCCTGAGGAACAGATGCTCAAACAACCTTAAGAGTAAAAATAAATCAGTTTATCTGGTCCAACTGTATGGTCTTAAACTCCCAAAAGGAAAGTATAACCAAAGATTAAATGGACCAACATAATTTCATAAGAGTCCATATGCATAGCTAAAGGCTACATAACAAGCAACAATGCCAGATAGGAGATACCTTCTTTTGAGTTGTTGGCCAGGGTGGCCAAAGGGAGTCCCAGAGTGTAACCCAGCATAGAGCTGGGAAAATGAACAACAGACCCCAATCTTATTTAAAGGAATATGACAACTGATTGCTGCTAGATGAGGAACAGCTGACCTTCCTAAAACAAAGAATTGTAGATAGGCTGACTAGATTCACTAAATGGACAAGTAGTGGGGAATGGCTGGGCATGCCGACAACACAGCAGACAGTAGCAGGGACATCAGAGTATAAGGGCTCTAGTGGAGGGAGGCTGTGGGAGGGTGCCATCTGGGAAGTGGGTGTATAGTTGAATAAGATTGTTTGGGATGTTCTGAGTGATATACACACAAAAATAAATAAACAAATTTAAAAAAGTATATTTGAGGAGGAAGCATGGAAATTTATGTCATGTTAATTAGTAGAGGTGATAAACATTACCATTTTTATCTTTCTGATGACTTTATAGACATACACAGGTGCCCAGGATCCAAGTGCAACCAATACCCTGTACAGGTAAAGCTCGAGGGGGACCACTCCCTGAAAAGAAAAACGGGCGAGAAAGAGGAGACGGAGCCCAAGCAAGTCCACTTGTCAAGGGTCCGCTTTATTGAACTGCAAGCTTTCCTTATATACAGTTTGTATTTAGAAGGGGTTGAAGAAGTTGGTCAAAGGTTACAGCATTCTTATGGATATGGGAGAGGGACTGAGCAATTCAGCAACAGATGTTCCAAGAGATGTACTGCATTGCTCTGGAGTGTGTTACTGAATATGTTAAAGATGTAATGAAATGCTTCTTCTAATCATGTGGTTATTAAAAATTTAAAAAACAAAAAAGAAAATATATATTTCTTAATGCTACAATAAAGTTGATCTGCTGTTTGAAATCTTCCATATACAGTGTCTAGGCTGTCCAGAAGATATACATGGCAACATCCTAATTACTTATATTAATGTTTACTATCTAAGAAGTCTTGAGCTTCAGATCAGTGTCATGGAAAAGTACTGTTTCTGAATTAAGTAATAGGGCTTAGCACAAAAATATCCATGCTTAAGGATGAGCACTAATAAAAAAAAATCTATAGACATAAGATTTCAGAGGTGTAATTAGCAGAGTGGGCAATAGATATGTAGGTAAACTATTGCTTGATGCTTTAAAAATGCATTTAAAGGATGATAAAGTTTTGTATTTGGAGAGGAAAATGCAAATGAGCAAAAGTATACACATACGTGTATGTGCACTTATATAAACATTTTAGTATTAATTTCATGTTTTAGGAAACTAACATTTTGAAGAATGAGAAAGCCAAGATTCAAGTCTGGCTCTGATACCATGTTTCATTTGAAAAATAGCCTGAATTTGTACCTTCTCTTTCTCAGCCATGGGTTGGTGTGAGACTCAAAATCATGGGAGGTACTTCATAAATTGTGAAAATTCAATGTGATATTTGCTGCACTTTGATATCCTAATTCACATAGAAGGTTTACAAATAATTTCTACTTTTGGTCAACTAATCATTAAGAGCTTTTTTTATTTCTAGTGTACAGATATCAGTGATAAAGAAACCTTTCAATGACTTGGGCTGTCAAAGCTTTATGATAAGATTTCACATTTAAGATATGTATAATAACTGCTAACATTCTAAAATGCCAATATTTCCTGTTTGAAAACCAGAATATAGAAATGACATGCACAAACACTGAAGACAATCAGAGAATGTGGTAGAAAATATTGCCCTTACCATTGCTGTTTTAGGAGACGTTGCTCCAACTTGCAATTCCCATGTAGTGTTTATTTCTTGACATGTCATAACTTTGGCTCTTAACTTGAGATGAAAATATCCAGGAAACATAATGTGAAGAAGTTGTATAGAAGGTGTGGTTCATAGCTCCTGCTTCCTGCAAGTTCCTGAGAGTTTGATTCTTTCTCTTCTAGTTTCGAACTTTCGACCCATGTAAACAGCTGTGGTGCAGCCATCCTGATAACCCATACTTCTGTAAGACTAAAAAGGGCCCACCACTTGATGGGACTGAATGTGCTGCCGGAAAGGTGAGTGTGTCTACTTATGCAGTAATGATTCATGATGCGCTGCATGGGAATCTTTACATGTCAGAAAATGATGGATATCACTGGGCTGATATCTTTATGGAAACTGTAATGCCTGCAGTTGCCTTATGGTAAGGCACTAAGATAGTATACTACCTTCCTGTGGCTGCTGTAATTGCCACAAATGTGGTAGCCCAAAACAGTAGAAGTTTGCTCTGCAACAGCTCTGGAGGGCAGGAATCAGCCCCGCTGAGGTGAAGTCAACCTGCAGTTGCCTTATGGTAAGGCACTAAGATAGTATACTACCTTCCTGTAGTATGCTCTGCAACAGCTCTGGAGGGCAGGAATCAGCCCCGCTGAGGTGAAGTCAGTATGTGCTCCCTTTAGACACTTTGGTGGAGAACAGGTTCTCCCCTCTCCCAGCTACTGGCTACTTACTCATGAACATACCCCGCTGGTGTCTGCTACTGTAGCTGCCAGTTCTCCCTCTACTATGTCTTGCAAGAACTCATTCATGTAGTGCTGTATTTTGAGAATACATGGATACCCCAGGATTGTATGGTCAACTTGGATTTCATTTGCATCAAACCTTTTACTGAATAAGGCCACATTTACAGGCCAAGGGACTAGGAGCTCTTATCTGGGACAATCATTGAGCTCACTCTGGGTAGAACTGAAGCAGCAGCTCAGCAGATCTCTGGCCCAATTGTGGGATCTGATTTACTTGCTGGCTTGGCATTTCTTGTGAACATCCCAGAAATAAAGTCATGTCAATTTATACAGAAAATTTGGCTTTACTCCTAGGGGAAAGATGTCTAAATGTTCTAAATAGCATATTGTATAGTGGGACTAAATGCCATGCTGTGCTTCTCTTATGGGCAAAGAGCCTGAAAAAAGGCACGTTAAGACTTCAAATTGAAGAGCCTTGACTAGTTTAGAAATAAGCTATTGTAGACAACCCCTAAAGCTGACAGAAAAGACTAATATAGCTTTTACATTTTAAAAATTGATTTCAAACATATATGAACTGTTCGTATAAGAATTATGCATAATAATAAAACCTGTCCCTGCAGGTACCTGCATTCTGTAAGACACTATGCCAGTTACATTATGCATGGTGTCTTGCTTTGGGACTATTTAGTCAATAAGTTTTTAACTAAAAATAATAATGAGTTGACTCATTTTTGCCTTATTAAAAAAGTTATACACTAAAGTGTATAATCAGTTTTAAATACGCAACTCTACTACAAGTAATTATATTTAAGCATATAAAGGGAAGCTTCATCCATGAAATCTCCACAATATGGTTGGCTAAACAAATCTTACATAAGGATGCCAGCTGGCATGAAAATGTGAATGGGGAAATTTCACAGGGTTCCACCTCTAGATGAAGAGGTATAGCAACCAATGGTTGCTAAGGGAGGGAGAATTGCTTTAATCCAAAGACAAACTCACTGATAGGCTATCAGTCAAAGTGATCAGCCCATATACGTGTGTGTGTGTGTGTGTTTGTGTGTGTGTAACAATCATAATCAAAGAATAATAAATTGAGAGAGAAGGGGGGTCATGGGAGGAGCTGGATGGTGGGGCTGGGAAATGATGCAAATATAGTACTCATATGAAATTCTCAAAAATTAATACAAAATAAAATAAAAATAAATATCGTATGTAGTATAAAAAGCAATTATAATTTTTTAAAAGAAATATAACTTCTTTTGAGCACCTGGTGTATGCTGGGGAGCATTATCAAGGACTTCCTATGGTATTGGGGCTCTATAGCCCTTAGCACTTCTTGGACACAAAGGCCCTAAAATACTCATAAACTTTCTTGCTACTTGATTTTCCTTATCTAGAAGGTAAAAATCATTATCTGACCTATTTCTCAAAAGCATTGTGAATTAATATTTTGTAAAATTAAAAATACTTTGAAATCTAGATATAGTTTTAGCTTTTCTTCATTATTTTTAACTTAAGATATGTTTGCATGCTGTTGTTTGAAAGGGAGCATTTTACCATACAGAAAGCCAGGGATGACGTAAAAGTGAGAGATGAAGCAGAAACCAGAACTTGCTGGGCAACTTGGGTACTCACTCGTGAATTTATCATTTATCAGCTTACCTGAGTAAATGCTACTTTTTCCTTTTTATGTTTCATTTTTATTATTTTAATTTGTGCATATGTGTGTGAGTGAATGCCACATATGGGCAGGTGCCTATGGAGGCCAGAAGAGGGCACTGAATCCCATGCAGCTGGAGTTACAGGCAGTTGTGAGCCACTTGATATGGGTGCTGGGAAATGAACTCAGGTCCTTTGCAAGAGCAACAAGTTCTCTTAAACACTGAGACATCTCACCAGTCCCAACTTTTTCACTTTAATTTTATGTTTAACAGTGTGAATTTAAGGTATTATTCTGATTATGCACCTTAGTGTGCAAATACCTGTGGATATTATCAATGAATATTCATCTGGAGTAGGGAGGGAAGTAAGTGAAGACCTTCGAATAAATGGTTCAGCTTTAGTGTATATGAGATTGCCATAATTTTCTTTTGTCATTTTCCTAAGTGGTGCTATAAGGGGCATTGCATGTGGAAGAATGCTAATCAACAAAAACAAGATGGCAATTGGGGATCATGGACCAAATTTGGCTCCTGTTCCCGGACATGTGGAACTGGTGTTCGTTTTAGGACACGCCAGTGCAATAATCCTACGTGAGTATAATCCCTATAATTCCCATTACTAGATAAACCAGAAAATGGTTCAGTATTCTGTTATTAGTTTCTTTCTTCTCTTATACTACATATAAAATATAGGATATGAAAATATATTGTTGACATATAATCCAGTATCTTTTGAATAAACCTTATCAATCTGGTGGGCTAGTCAGTAATGAAGAAGAGATGCTTAAATGAAGAGGAGATATTTTCTTAAGCAGAACGTGACATTTGGGACTCTTAGGAAGGTGAGCAGATATAGTAGATGTTATGTGTACAGGCACTGTGGGCTGCGAAATGTCCATCAAGGAACAAGGGGGCTTTAAGTGGGAGCAGTACCAGCCACATTGATTCTGCGAGAAGGTAGGTTCAATTGCTTCAGTGTGGAACAGCAGAAAGATGGTGGCAGACTGCCAGAGACAACTAGAGGGAAAAGCATCCATTAATCTAACCAGACAAAATTCATTCAAGCCTTACTGTATGCCTCTTTTTATTTTCTGAAGAAAAACAATGGAATCATTAAACTGGGATATTCTTGTCCAGCTGGGGTTTAACATGTGAGTAGCCTTTTATCTGCTTCTGGAAGGAGGATGACCCTGAGCATGACTCTAATAAAGATCACTGGGGGTACATACTGTCTTGGTGAGATGGTACAACATTATTAGAAATCACAAAAACAATCAAAATATAACAGTAAGAGTAACCCAAGCTTCATTGTAAGCCAAGGTCTACTCTGGGTGCTTTAAATGTTATCCCATTGAATCATAACCATTTTCCTCTTCGGAAGATAATTTCATTTTGCATTTTACATAGGAAAAAAGAGACACAAAACTATATGATGAGAGTTTCTTTGAGTTGCATTTACATATTTTATGCATGGTAGAAAACATCATTTACCTGAGTTTGTGTGCATACTTTTCATCTTTGTATACTTTGGTCATAAATAAAAAATTATTTTAGAAACTGATTTAGGTGGAATGTAGGGGTCTTTTACCCCACAGCAAGGAGAGAAGGGTGCATTTGGAGAGTCATTAGACTTAGGAAGATCATTCAGTCTCTGCCGGCAGCTCAGAGTACTGGCTGTCTGCCCTGCGACAGTGAATTTGCAAGCCTGAGCTGCTGGGCTGAAGCCAGGCAGCCTTTTAAAGTGTTGTCTTTTCTTAGGCCCATCAATGGTGGTCTGGACTGTCCTGGTGTTAATTTTGAGTACCAGCTCTGTAATACAGAAGAATGCCAGAAGCACTTTGAGGACTTCAGGGCCCAGCAGTGCCAGCAGCGTAACTCCCACTTTGAATACCAGAATACCAAACACCATTGGTTGCCACATGAACATCCAGATGGTGAGTAGATGAGCTTCTTTTTCCTGCTATCTGTATATTCCCTTAGAGTTTAAGCTTGGTCAATACCAAGTCCTTGGACTCTTGGGCTCTATTTGGTAATACAGGAGGCAGGGTATGTCCAGAGGCAAGACATCCAAGGCTTTAAGGAGGTCTTTCTCTAAAGAGGTAGGGATTGTTAGACATTGTGTCTGGCAAACAGTCCTATCACTGTCCCCACCAGAAGCAATACTGAATCTCCTGATTCAACTGAATCCTCAAACTAAGAAATAATCAGGAATATATTATATATATATATATATATATATATACACACACACATATATATAATTCATTTAAAGCTGAGTCAAGATAAAAAAAGCAGGAACATTGTTTATTAACAAAAGGTAATTCATAACATTTTATAAACTAATTATTAAAAACAATCTTGGAAATTCTCTTCTAATGTTTTACTTCTTACCCTTAATGCCTAGATTAGGCAGGTTCAAATTGAAATCTCTTGTCGTATTTCTTAAAGGCTACTAAAAGAAAAGTGCATATAACTCTGGGTTCAATTTGGAGCTTTTTAAAAGGAAATAGGAGCATGCATATGTCAAAGTTGAATACATTTAGAACAAAGGCATAATGAGTGACATGGATCATATGTAGTTAAGTACTACAAGGGCAAAGACATCGACTGAGTGATTAGACTGAAGAGGAACCTTTTTAGGGTTCAGAATGTTACTAAAACAAAATTGGTCTTGAATCAAGACTTATTAAAGAGCTGATCAAAGTGAAATCTAGGTTGGACAATATAATCTGCCTGGGGCAATCTCAGTGCATACCTGATGTCCCTGTTCAATTAATAGAGTCCCTTTTCATGCTCAGCAGTATCCCAGTTTAAATAACAAAAATCATTAATCAGTCACATTAAATCAAATATACACACCGGCCTATCTATACTTTTCATATGCCCCATTTGCCTTTCAGGAACCCACACTGAAATTTTGTACTTTAAAAATATACTGGACTGTGCTGGTCAAACATTGTTTTTCATGCAAATAGTTAATTTAAGCCTCCCTCTTACACAGCTAAGAAAAGATGCCACCTTTACTGTCAGTCCAAAGAGACTGGGGATGTTGCTTACATGAAACAGCTGGTGCATGATGGGACACGTTGTTCCTACAAAGATCCATACAGCATATGTGTTCGAGGAGAGTGTGTGGTGAGTTAGAACTACTGTCTCTGTAGCCTCCTAATATATCCTATAATTCTACTTTTACTATCATTCATAGGCATGTTTTAAGTTATTTTCTCAACTGATTCTTAATGTGTTTTGATCAGGTCCACTCCCCATTTCCACCCCTCACCTTTCCTCCAAACTTCATGTACTCTCTCTTGAAAAAAAAAAAAAAACAAAACCTTTGAGTCCACTTAGTGTGGCCTGTTTGTGCATGGATGTGGGAGCATGGGTAGACTTCTAGAGGCCACATCCCTGAAGACAATTTACTTTCCCTCCCCGTGCAGCCATGAATTGCCAATAGCTCCTCAAATAGAGGTGGGACTTAATGAGCCCCTTACCCCTCCATGTTGGAAGTTTAGCTGGATTGATCTTGTGCAGATCTTATGCATGCAGTCACAGCCACTGTGAGTTCTTATGTGTAACAGTATTGTCATGTCCAGCAAATTCTGTTTCACTGCAGACATCCACTATTTATGACTCTTACAGTCTTTTTGCCTCTTGTTCCCCAGTGATCCCCAAGTCCTGGGGATGGAGTGTGATACAGAAGTCCCATTGGAGCTGATCACTTCACAGTCTCTTATTCTCTGCACATTGAATTGTCATCTACTGCAAAAGAGGCTTCACTGTTGAGGGTTGAGAGATGCAATAATCTAAGGGTATAAGGGAATGTCTTCAGAAGTCAGTTTAATACTTTGTCAATACAGCAGGATGGTAGTAGGCATTCCCCCACAGCCTATGACTTCTTTAACCACAGGTTCTTGGCCCTGTTAATGATGCCAGGCATTAGTTCTGTCTTGTGGAGTGGGCTATAAATCCATCAGAAAGTGGTTGGTTACTCCTTAACAACTTTGTCACTATTGCACAAGTAAACATATCTTACTTGGGCCAGTCATTACTGTAGATCAGAGAGTTCACAAGTGGGTAAGATTTTTGATAGGTAGCATGTATAAAATCTTCCAGCACTATGAAAACTGGCCAATGTGGATGCAGCTTCCAGGATAATACCAGCTTATTTTCTCCATGCCTCCTGACTCAAGTATGTGGTGTCTTTAACATAAGTGTCCTACCATCAAGTCTGTAGGGTAACCAAGAACAATGGCAAAGACCTGTAATGTTTGTAAGGGGGCGGTCTGTGGGAACCCACTGTCAATAACTAGAAAAGAGGTAACCCATACTGGGCACTAGCCTTTTAATATGATAGCTTATGGTGCCTTGGCTAGGCATTGTCCCCCTGTTGTAGGTTAACTCCATATATATATA